GATTAAAGGAAGAATCTCTGCTCGTATCTGAAGATATTTCTTTCCTGCATACCCATAAAACAAAAAAGATATAAACGACAGAGTTTTAAAAGCTCAGAACCACCTGCATTAAATCTTTTTATTTTATTTTTAATTATTTTACTGAAAGAGAACTAAGGAGAGAATTGATCAAAGACATACAACAGTCCAGAAAAGTACCCAAAATGTATAGTCAATAATTAAGTTTTTCTAGGGACAAAGTAACTCTCTCTAAAAGACAGTAAAATAAAGAAGAAATCTCTCTAGAAATACTTTGATACATTTAAAAAATGTAAGATGTTAAGAGAAAAATGGATTTACTTTATTATTCACTTGCATGTTAACTAGAATAGAGACACCATCAAGAAGGTATAGGTCATCACTGCAAATTGACCATTTAACCTCTTATGAAGACATAATTTTGGTAACAAATTAACCCACACGTTTTTCTGTTACTTTAATTGTACATAATGCATTTCCTATTTTCATCCCTGATTAACCTAATTAATTCCATTTAAACACAATTTTAACACTGCAGCTTCCCCTTCTAGTGTCCTATCTTCCACCCCCTCCTTCATCCCTTCTTTTCTTCCTTTCATTGTTGCTCAGATTGAATTTGTTGGGCTCTTCTCTATGAGCAATTTTAACTATCTATTGCTTGAAACATGAATGATCCATATGTGTAAACAGCTATTCATTTTTATAGGCAAAGCTTGTCACTTAAATAGGAAATACAGAACAAATATTAATGATAACATAAGTTTTTATGTTAGATGAATTATAAATAAAATGAACTTTAACACACACACATTTTAAAAAATTGGGCTCTTCTTTTTCTCTATTGGCTGTTCATTGCTATAGCACTAAAATGCTTTCTCAGAAAACAAAACATTATTCTGATATATTTTCCTAATCTGTCTCTTGTGTTTTTCATTTTCAACAAGTTGATTTGTGATATAATTTTTGTCCATGTCACATACAGAAAATGAACAGTTATTTTCTTCTTTTCTGTGTTCTGCACATAGTTCTTTCTATGAGCAGAGATACATTATTCCTACTGAGAATTAAATAATATCTGACACATACAATCCTTTTTTCTAAATATTAAATCAGACAAATAACATTATTTCTCAAAGAGGTCTGTGTGAAAGTGGGAAGATGAATTCGAGTTTTCATCTTTAAAAAAAGATTGGTTTTTTTCTCTGCTCAGTTGCAAAGTACATCCTAACCCATTATGTCAAATGTTCACGCATTTGGGATTCATAGTAAAAATCGACTTTCAATTTCTTAAATTTCAGTTTTAAAGATACTCTCTTCTATCATAGTGACAATATTTAAATGTATATTAATAGTGAATAAATAAATCAATGTCACCATGAAATATTTTACAGGCTAACCCCTTATAAGTTGTATGTCACAAGGTCACAGTGTGAACACAGTCCTCAAAATGTAATTCCTCCTACTATGTTTTTCCTGGTTATATTTCTTAGCATGATGTGTTCAACCCTTATTTCTTATTGCTCATCAAACTTTCTACAACAACAACTTTTTACTTCAGATGCAGACATAACTGTTTCCACTACTGTAGGAATATATCTTTATTCTTCTCACTTACCACAGGAAACAATGTCATCTCCTCCGCGGGTCCAAAATACTAAACGTTCCTCCAATAGTTATTCATGACAGGAATATCATTCAACTATGGGGAAATACTAAACTTGTGCTCCATAAATTCTCTACTAGTCACATTCTTCCTTTCCCAAGCCCGTGTTCTTCTCTCCCCGTTGCATCCATGGAACTCTCCACATCATGTTGGTTGTACATGTGTACCTATGTGGAGTCATGATCCACTGTCTCTAGAAACAGCCATCGAGATGTTATCATTATCCTTGGATGTGTGTGAAGACCATACCAATCTGCTCAATTTGCTCTAATTTTGATGCGGGCTCTTGCTCAATGCTCCTCTCCACCCTCTACTCATTTCATCTCTGGGGAATGTTCTGCATGCTTAAAGGAACACTTAGCATTACTATCAGTTAGTTTTAATTAACTTCACATACTTGAATGATGGTATGCTAGATGCTAGGAAAATAATTTAAATAGATCTGGTCTCTGCCTCCTAGCCACTTACATATAAAACCATGATAGAATGAGATGCTATTTTTAATTGGCTGGCCATTAAAAGTGTAAAATTTTTCATGTAAAACTTTCTTTAAAAATTGGGCAATTCAATTGCTTTCCTTTATGAAGTTTTACTTAATAATGCATGTCAAAATATGGTGAATAACTAAGAATGCTCAGGAAATGTATAATAGTTCCAGTGTGAATTTCCAAAACAGGGACAATGACCTTGGCAGCTGACAATTGGCACCTGACAGCTAGGCTGGGATTTTATCAACAAACAATTTTCCAGAATATAAGTAGTAATCAGATAAAGGTACTCAGTGACTGTGGACCGAAATAAGACAAAAATGAATTCACCCTATGACCAGGCATAAAACAAAACAGAGACCAGGCACGCAACAAAAATTAGCATGATTAACTACTGTATTCCTATAATAGCAAATCTACTTCTGTTTTAATATTTAGTTTCTTAGGTGAATTTATGCATATACCTATCACTAATGCCCCCTGTTCCGAGAGCACCCCATTCAGAACGCTCTTTAGATTAGCCCACACAAGCCCAAATCCTACAACAAGTCTCTAATGACTTTGTCTTATATCCACCCAGATATTGATCTGATCTGATATGTGCTCTTTTTTTTTTTGCCATAGCAAACTAAATAATCTAATTTTGCCTGACTACTGGCAGGTTTCTGGTGGTCTTTGACCGGCAGTGGTCTTCAACACTTCTTATTACTGACTTTTACTATTTTACTTTACTATATGTTGAAATTTGCTGCTAAATAAGTAATCAACTAATATTTTACACAGCTGTACTTTGCTTGATACATAAATATTAAAAAGTTTAAATTAAGATGCTACTGATCTCTTAAAGTAATAAGTAATAAAATCTTTCATATATTGAGTGACCCACTGATGAAATAAAAATAGAAAAGAGAAGTCAACTGACATTTATACAAAGTCTATTAAGTGTCATGAACTTGACTTAAGTTGCCTCCTTACAGAAATTAATTCTCTAGCACACAATCAAATCCTCACAAGAACTACTTCTGTATTTTATGATATAAGCTCAGCCAGTTTCAGTAATTTTTCCAAGGTCAAACTACAAGTAAATGCTGAAATTGGAAGACAATCTCCATTTGGGCTCTAAAGTATATTTGTTTCTGAATCTACTTTAAGAACAGGAAGTCTATTCAGGAAACTAACCTCACATAATTGAAAGCATTTAAACATTAGAATAATTGTAATAACTACTAATATACAATGGGCATAGGCATATTATAATCAGGTTGACAATTTCACTAGCAAAGTAATAACAGCACGAAAAATCTGGCCCTCTGCTACGTGTCCAATCTTCTCTCTTAATACTCTCTACATCTCTCCTAGTCCTCTGTACTCTGACCTCACTGGTACCCTTGCTGTTCCTAGAAATAAAAATAATACATATGCTCTTACCTCAAGGCCTTTGTACTTGCCCCTTCAGACTGCATCACATACAATACACACACACACACACACACACACACACACACACACACACACACACACACACACACACTCGCTTTCCTAAACCCCCTTTTCCACATCTTTATTGCCTTCCCATTTCATTTTTCTTGAGTAGTCTTTATCGAAATGCAGCACATTCTATTTTGTATTTATTTATTTTGCTTTTTTATCATTTCTACCTAGGATGGTTTCTGTAAGAAAAATGAAGTTTTTTTTTGTTGTAGCTAGTGGTGATAGTGATTTTGACACTTGGAGACAAACTCAATGTGTTTTCTTGTTCTTTTTGGTCACTTCTGTAACCTTGGTGCCCCAAATACAGTCTGCTGCATAATAACCTAAATTCTTGTTAAACAGATAAATGAAAACAAAATTCAATGAGGTATATTAAAAGAACAGTACTTAGAATTCAGCATTTTAGGATTTAATATAATTGCACATCACACACAAATTCTAAGCTCCAGCTGTAATTATATACAGATAGAAAAAGAAAAAAAAGTCTTCATTATCTGGAAAATCAAATGATGCAGTTCAGAAAATAGGATCTCCTAGTCTTTATTCTTTTTGCTTTATCTTACCTATTTCCATGTATTCACTTTAATTTTGATTAGCATTTGCAAAAAATTGCCTGCTATAATCCCCAAAACCTTGCTAAGTGCTAAAAATACCAGGATTACAAGTCTTCCATGTACTAGCTGTGTGACTCAGCCTCTGTAATCTTCAGAATCCTCTTGTGGAACTTGTGACTAATACAAGGAACATTAGTCCACCATATGAGGACTCCATGAGATAATTCCGGCAGAGAATTTAGCATTACTTCTGGTCTATTGGATTCCCAGAATTAATGTTCTTATTAATGATAATGATGATGACAAAAACATAATAGAATGCCCCTACATTTATGCAGCATTACTTTATGTCATATAGAAGGTAAAAACAAGTCTAATTTTAAAACCAGAGCTGGGAAGTCATATTTGCATATAGCAACGTTATTTTAAGGTAACAAAGTTTGCCGAGGTTCTCTCAGATTTCTAATTGTCATTGATTTTGCCCAGATTACCACTTTGCTGACTCCTCTCCCAAGCACACACATACATCAAGTCACAATCTGGAACATAATTGAGAATATTAACCCTATGAGAGCTCCCTTATTTTTCTTTCTAGTCAAGAATGAGACTCAAACTAGGAATACATTCCTTTGAATATAATTAATATTAATGAGGATACTTTTATGCCATTTTTGCTGTAGATTTTGTTTTGTCTTTGCTATCATTTCAGAAAACTTGGAAATGATTTTAGATGCAGATGAAAAGATTTGCTGCAGAGATGAAAGGGGGGCGAGGGTGTTTACTTACAGTGTATTTCTAGCACCTGCATGGCCACCTGAGGGGTGGCATTGAGGGACTCATGGTCTACTCTGCAGATGACGGCCACTCCATCATCGCTCCGGTCCACTCGGAAGTCCAGGGTGCTGCTGACCGTGAACGTCTTGCGATTGGCATCCTCTTCTTTTAAATATTTTACATCTGAAAATAAAATGTGAATTTAAAAATTACATAACATCTTTCAAAATACAACAGCTTTCATTTAGTCAACACTCTGGAAGTATCTTCTCTCTGCCTTTACCCTTTCGAAAAAGGAAATATTTGCTAGCTTAACAATTTAATTCATTTCAAGTCAATCCAATAAAAACACAACTACTTCAAAAATAAATTTGAAAGGTTAAATACGAAACCAAAATAAAGGTAGAGAGCACAGCATTTTAATTCCTTTGGTCTCAGGCTTGCCTAACTTATCAGATGCAAGATACTATTATACACTCCATTGAACAAATGTAGACCATTTTATGAAAGTAGTCTTTCTTTTTCTCTTAGAGGTAAGTTTGACTAAAAGATTGTCTTCATTCTTCTTGAAGCCACAAGCACTGTTGGGAACAGCAAATTCACATCTATCTGGTTATGCCTAGAAGGAAGCACAACGTACTTGAACTACGGCTTCAACGTGAATAATGTGAGGAGAGCATCATTTGCTAAAGAATAACTAGGATGGGAACGGTGTCATCTTTGGCAAAGAAAAGAAGGAACTTAGGCATCTGAATATTTTGAACAGTTAAGTATATATATACAGTGAAATGTACGTTGAGGTAAATGCTCTCCACTTGGATGGAATTTATTTCAGCATGCATAAAAGTACTTTTCTCAAGATATGAATTCACCTATAGATATTTAAATTTACATTGCATGATTCAGACCTATCATTACATGGTGCACTTAGGGATTATTTCTTCTTTGTGGAGAAGAGATTTACTAATATTTTCTTTGAATTTGTAATTTCTCAAGTTTGAAGTAGCTGATAAGAAGACTATTTTAATGGATTAGAACTTGAACTGGTAGGCCAAGGTTATAATATCATTATTAAAAAAGAATTGTAATTGCAGTACAGTTTTCTTATGCTTTTTGTCCTTTTTTTCTTCATTATCAAATGAACAAGGATACTTTCAAGAAAAATCATTTTCTGCATAAAATACATGGTAATTGATTTTATCAGGTATTATTATTTATTTGAAAAACACTTAAAAGTACATTAATGACAACAAATGAGTAATTCCAGTTTATTTTTGTGCTATATGCAAAGATATGACTTTTAAAATGACATTGAATTTGATGTAGCTGATGAATAGGTATACACACGGTTCACTGAGTTTTACTTATTTCTAGAGAAGCATGGCTTTAACTTATTGATTGGTTTTAAAAACAAAATAAATTAGTGCAGGATGAAACTAAGTAGACATTATGTCTTGTTTCTAAAAATATGTGTTTATGAGTATATTCCCATATTAAGAGAAAAAAACACCTAATTAAAATGCTTAGTACAAAAATGTTTTACGTATCTTAGGCTATTTTGGGAAGTAAGAAACTATCTAACATTTTAAATTATTTCTGTCTTTTAACTATAAATAAACCATACGGGCTACAGTATTTTATGGAGGATTTTTCACAAACACAGCTTTCATGAAGTATCTCATCTCATTTTTGCTGAAGTCATTTACTATTTTTTGTTTTTTTTAGAAAGCAGCATTTATTGAGAGGATATAAATGCTCCCACAGTAGGAGGGTACCCGAAGGGATTGCCTTAAGATTTTTTTTTTTTTTTTTTTTTTTTTCATTAATCAGTAGTTTTTATTATGGTTTTGTGGGGTACAGTTAAGGGTAGGTGTACAATGACGTTTCATTCAGGCACCCTGTAGATAAGAAGTGTTTTCCCATCCCCCGACAGATATTTGCTACTGTTAATCCCATCCCCCTCCCCCCCGTAGTTTCCCAGTACCATCCGTCATTTTCTCATAGTATTGCATTGGATGTTCAAGGTCCATTATATGAGTGAGAACATGTGATATTCGGATTTTTGTTTTTGTGAGAGGTCACTCAGTATTATAGACTCTAGTTCCATCCAGGTTGCAGCGAAATTCATGATTTTGTTCTTTTTTATGGCTGCGTAGTATTCCATCGTGTATATGTACCACATTTTTTTAATCCAGTCCTCTTTTGATGGGCAGCATGGTTGTTTCCAGGTTCTTGCTATTGTGAACAATGCTGCGATAAACATACGTGTGCAGGTATCTTTTTTATAGAGTGATTTGTGTTCTTCAGGGT